TAACCAACTGCTATCATAGAGTTCACTTTCAGTTCAGTAATGAATGTATTAAAGCAAGACAGAACTAATACAAAACTTGAAACATTAATTTAATTCTATGAACAATTTTTAGCATACATGTTCTTCATTTTGCTAACAATCTTTTTCTTCTTACAGTTTTTTTTTAACTAATGACAAATTCATAGAATCTCACATGAAATTTTCTTAACTTTTATTGAAAAAAAGTTAGTGAGTTCTTCTTTATCCATTAATTCTCTGCAATTTTCATGAAAAATCTAAATTATTATTTCTCTTTACAGGACCTAGAGCACTGGGTGAATGCTGACATGAAATTCTAACCAATAAAGAAGACTGTTTTAACTGATGGGCTAACCCTTTGCTATGTCTGCAGAGGTAAAAAAGCAAGATGAGGAAAGTGATATTAACCTAGAGTTTTGGCCAGTTAAAAAACGTCCCAGCTATGTACATGTGATGTTTTCCTAATATACAGATGAATATATAGAAGAGCACAATCTGTTATTTCCTCAGTTTGCAAAGGAAATAAAACCATACTGGGAATAAGTCAGAGAGTAATAATACAAACAGAGAATTTTCAAATGTTGACAGTATGGTTAGTAGTTTGAACCTTTAGTTGGCCATTATTATATGCATGGCAAAATGATGAAATAGATATAAAAGCTAGTTTCAGAAATATAGACAGTATTGTTTGGTTTTGTCTGTATTTGAAGGTATTACAAAGAGAATAATTACTAACTCTTAAATATTCTCAGTCTACTGGAAATCTAGTGTAGGTATGCATTTCCAAAAATCTCTGCACCATGTCAAGCAGACCTATCTCACGTTTGGCAAATATGCCTTCTGTTGCTGGTCTTGTTCTTTTGATTCAGTATGTGGCACCAGAAATATAGCAAAGACAGTAGAAGGCTATCCTGTGATGACTCATTGAGAATCTGAAATGGCTAGCATTGGAAACTAAAAAAAATAGTGTAAAATACTGTTAATCTATTAAATTCAGTCTCTTCCGGTTTAAAGGAATTTTCACAAGATATTTATGATTCCATTGATTTTTCAAATTTTGAATTTAGTCAAGGTCAGGATTACTAGTAGTCCAACATACTGTAAAGTCCATTTGCAGCCAATGAATGACATATGAACACCACCAGAAAAATTCATTCTTATTGGTCCTAACCTCTGTGCTTCTTAGAGTCTTAAACATCAGGCGTATGTGAACTGGGAACCAGTCATAAATAACACCAATTGTTCTGACACTGTTTATTCCCATACTCTTTCTGATGGCTGCAAACACTATCTCCCATCAGATGACTAGAAGAATTGTGACCATCATGACGGATTTCTTATCATGTGAATGGAAGCACTTTTATCATATGCTAATGAAGCACTTTGGTCACATTACCTGTGTCTACACTGCTAAATGCATCCACTCCTGGAAAAGAACCCTGGCTAGCAGGCTAAATGGTGAAGTATGGTGTCCATCTACATTGCTCAGAGCTAAGTCTCTCTAAAGTCTATCCTTATATATAGAAGGGGGCCACGAAGATGATCAGGGGGATGGAACACCTCTCCTATGAAGAAAGGCTGAGAGAGTTGGGGTTGTTCAGCCTAGAGAAGAGAAGGCTTCGGAGAGACCTTATTGCAGCCTATCAGTACTTCAAGGGGGCTTCTCAAAAAGATGGCGGCAACCTTTTTAGCAGGGCCTGTTGCGTCAGGACAAGGGGGAATGGCTTTAAACTAAAGGGGGGTAGATATGGACTAGATATAAGGAAGAAATTTTTTACGCTGAGGGTGGTGAAACACTGGCACAGGTTGCCCAGAGAGGTGGTGGATGCCCCATCCCTAGGAACACTCAAGGTCAGGTTGAACGGGGCTCTGAGCAATCTGACCTAGTTGAAGATGTCCCTGCCCACGGCAGGGGGGTTGGACTAGATGACCTTTAGAGGTCCCTTCTAACCCAAACTATTCTATGATTCTATGATTCTATATCCACAAGGTTTTGTTTTAAAGAAAACAAAATGGTTCGCATACGAAGAGACCACAGAATGAGTTAAAAATTATAACACTTGTACTATCAAAGGACCAAGACACAGGTGAAAGTAGAGAGCTAAGATATGTAAGAATGCACAGGTATTTGTTATGAACATTTACTAAGACAACAGAAGAAATATCATGACCCACAGGATTCAGCTATACCTATCAAGAGGATATAAGATCAAGAACACAGGTAAATTCAAGTTGCAAGGGACCTTAGGAGGTCTTTAGTCCAGCCTCCTGCTCAAAGAAGGTTCAACCCTGACATCAGACCAGGTTGCTCAGGGCTTTAACCAGTTGGATCTTGAAAACCTCCAAGGATGGAAACTGCACAACCTCTTTGGGCAATATGTTCCACTATTCAACATTTTCTTTGTGAAAAGGTTTCACTTATTTCCAGTCTAAAACTCTCTTATTTCAATTTATGCCTTTTCCTTTCATCTTTCTGTCATAAACTACTGTAAAGAACCTTGCTCTACCTTCTTAATTATTTCCCCACAGCTATTAAGAACTGCTATTAGGTTCTCACGAAGCTGTCTCTTCTTCAGGTTGCGTTTCTCTCACCTTTCGCCACTGGATCAGTGCTCCAGCTTCCAACCATCTTGGTGGCCTGCCACCAAACTTGTTCCAGTTTATCTGTGTCTTGTATTGTATTCTTGTATTGACAAGCTGAACACAAATACTATGAACAGTGGTTGGTTCCCAATTGAGGTTGTGTGTATGTGAAAGTGTATATGATATCAGAAGCATTAAAGCTCATTAATCACTTTGGCAGAAAATGCCAAACATGAGCAACAGTACCAATATGTAAACTTCTGAATCCAATAGAAATGGTCAACAGGAATGTCCATTCTCCAGTTGTTTGAATTTCATTATTATGGCATATAAATTAAGCACAAAATTGACAAAGGCTTAATATTTATGGGGGGGAAATGGTTGATTAAGTCATTCTAGCGGAGATTATCTTTCATTTTCAAACATAAGGAGAAAATATGTTGACTGGAAAATAATTTACTCCTTGAGTTCCAGCTTGTCTCTTCCCCCCCCTCTGCAAACACACAGACGTAAACATTATTTTCTATGTCATGAAAACTACACAGCAATTTTTTTTCATTTATGCTTCGGCACAAGTTCTTCTTTACTGATAATTTACCAATTCATTTTCAGTATACTAACACTTCCAGAAATTTATTACTAAAATTTAACCTGTCTTGCCAACTGTGCATGCATTCATTATTATTCTCATGGTTAAAAATTCATCAACCCCAACACAAAAATAACTTTTATTCATGCACTACACTAACTCAGCTTCTAAACCATGTCTTCTGTACATAGATATGTAAATGTCACTTATGCATATGCCAAATTCAGAACTTTTGTTATACCAAGGTAAGCATAGGAATAGTTTGGACATGAAAATTGTGATACGGTAGCTAACACTGGATAAGAGCAAGCACAATCAATCAATAGTTATTATACAATCAGATTCTGAAAGAAACATGTTTTACTATCATCCAGTTTAGTATGAAAAAATAAAAGATTTCAAATGCACACTGATACAGACATTTTTGTATATAAACCTTTCCATATAGCATATACTCTTAAATAAATAAAAAAATATAGACAAGTAACTATCCTACTTTTTAGAGATTTTGTTGTTTTAACAGTTCTCAACAGAACTGAAAATCAAGACATTTAGGAAGAATTCAGCTCAGACAACATTAGCCATTAAAAGTTGTCCTGATTTCAGCAGGGATAGAGTTAATTTCCTTCCTAGTAGCTGGTACAGTGCTGTGTTTTGGATTTAGGATGAGAACAAAGTTGATAACACACTGATGTTTTAGTTGTTGCTAGGTAATGTTTACACTAGTCAAGGACTTTTCAGCTTCCCATGCTCTACCAACTGAGAAGGCTGGAGGTGCACAAGAAGCTGGGAGGGGGCACAGCCAGGACAGCTGACCCAAACTGGCCAAAGGGATATTCCATACCATGTGACGTCATGCTCAGTATATAAAGCTGGGGGAAGAAGAAGGAAGGGGGGGGACGTTTGGAGTGATGGCGTTTGTCTTCCCAAGTAACCGTTACGCGTGATGGAGCCCTGCTTTCCTGGAGATGGCTGAACACCTGCCTGCCAATGGGAAGTAGTGAATGAACTCCTTGTTTTGCTTTGCTTGCATGCGTGGCTTTTGCTTTACCTATTAAACTGTCTTTATCTCAACCCACGAGTTTTTCTCACTTTTACCCTTCTGATTCTCTCCCCCATCCCACCGGGGGCGATTGAGCGAGCGGCTGCGTGGTGCTTAGTTGCCGACTGAGATTAAACCACGACAAAAGTTAAGTTTCTAGTCAAAGCTACATATGTAGACTACCTCTACAGTGAGTGGAGAGTGTTAGAAACCATAAGAAAGTGTTTCTTCTCAGTTATCTTAGCTATCATTTTAAAAACAGAAAAACTGTTCTGAGGATATTCTGAGGATATGGTTCTCTACTCTAACTTACATAGGAAGCCCACGTTGACTACACTCCTATACATGGACCTATTTTTATGAAATAAATCTGGTCTAAGTGCTCTAACTACATTTACACAATTTTGTAATACAGGTATCACTTGGAAGCTTGCATTGACAAAAAAGAGTCAATTATTAGGCATCTGAACTGCCAAATGCTGCTTTAAATTTATACCCAGTTTTCCTAATCTATTAATCAAAATAAGAAGAGTAAGCATTGTGGCCTCAATTTAAAATGCTTTAAAGTATAGACTGTGAAGTCCACTGGTAGTTCTAATACTAAACATATTTATAAAAGATTAAATAAATTTGACTAAGGAGATATGGAGAACATGAGAGTACATTGAAAAGTAAGAGGTGTATTACCATGCTTTTCCATGCTCTAAATCTGCAAATCCATGGACAATGACTACACATACAAGCAAATGAAAGCAGCTGACCACGTACCCACACACCTTGGAAGAGGTGCACTCCATACTCGTCGGCCACCACCAAGACAAATAATCTCTGAAGCTCCTTCTAAACGATATCCAGATGAACAGGAGAATGTCAGAATATCTCCCACTCCAAAATTAAATCCTATTCTGTTACCAAATTGTGGGATCCCAGGATCTTCACAAGGTTCAAGATTATACTCTGAAAACAAGAGAGCAAGTCAGCTTGTACAAGTGACAACAACATGTTTTTTATCAGTCACATTTGTAATCTTGCAGTCTAGTAATTTCTGTGTATTGCCACCTATCAATACAGATTTCAGATTTAAAAACAAAATGAATGCGTGAATGTTAAATTGGCAATTATATTACATTAAAATGTAAGACTAATGAATACATTCACAATGTTTTTAAGATGCATAACACAACATGCTTTATCACTCCTGTAAAAGCCATAAATATCCCATTTGGTTCATAAACCAAATGAAAACGATGACACAGCATAAAAGCCTAAATAATTGACAATTGGGCTCATCTGGAATTTCACTGACTGAAATTGGACTAGTTCTGTTTCCTCCCCTTGCTTGATAATGTGTCTTACAGTTAACTGCCATCTTATTTATGATATAGCACAAATGTCTCTTCTACAGAGGCACAGAGGCTTGCTTGCTTTGAAATTGTTGTGCTTAGGAAACAACTTATATAATTTTATGATTCAGTATATGTAGTCATCAAAATCACTTCAATTTTAAACTTTTTTTTTTTCTTTTTACATAAAATACTGAAAAAATCTTTTTCAGGAGCCAGGTATTGCAGGTATTTCCTTACCAGAGAAAGAAATATTAAATCCTTCATATGATATTGAAAAATCTGAAATAAAGCGCAATTGAGCCCTGAAATTTCCATAGAGACCAGCATTGATGGGTGAAGGAAGCTCTGAGCCAGTCAGACGTGCTAATGGCTGTGTGAAACTGCCATTCTCTGTTATTAGTAAGTAGTCATGATGATCCTCCAAATGAAAGCTGTAGAAGGTGAACTGCACTCCTATTAGAAAAAACAGAATTAGATTTACATATCACACTGTGAACATCAACGTAATTAAGCCAAGGATTAGATTCATGTATTTCATTATGAATTGTGGTTCAGAAAATGAAGATAATCCAATTTTTCTAAAAATTAGTATCTTTCCTGATTTTAATATCAAAATATCTTTGCAGCAGGTCTTTTGGCTTTGACACTACCTTTCACTTTTGTCTTTAGCTGCAAAATATGGATGTTTGATTTATAGAACTAAAAGACATATGCTTGCATTTTTATGCAAAATTCAATGATGCACTATGTATGTTCAAAATTACAAACTGTTTATGGCAGAATGGGAAAGGTAAACCTTATTTCTTACAGTCACCAGTATCCTTGTGTAGCAGCAGTGAAAGGAAAGGTTATAAAATATATGACATTGTATTCTCATGGCACATACAGTAACAGCAGCACTTCCTCCCCCAAAAAGGGAGGTCTCTTAATAAGGTGTGGCATATGTCAACAGTATGGTATTTTGCAAACCATCAGATACAAATCACACATCTAGAAAGGAAGATATATCCTGGAACACAATAGCAATAAAAAGACTTAAAGGTCAAGACAGACAATTAAATTACTTTTTCTGCACCTCTGTAACTAAGAGCTAACTAACCATGTAACTAACCATGATCTTTGGGTAGAATGCACAGAAAAGTCAAGAAAAAGAAACAGGAGAAGACATTAGTTAGCTTAAGTGATTATTGAGAACTCTAGTGTAATAGCATTTTCAGTTTTATCATAAAAGTTATAAACCAATAATTCAGGCTCTGTAAAATATATCTAATGATGTAATGCTTAGGAAGATCCATTCATGTGATTGAAGATTAACGTAGTATATGAAGATTAATGATCTTTGGGTACTCTTATGGTCAAAAGATTTTAATAATAGATACAATTTAATCAAAAAGCAAACAAATACTTCCCCTTCCTACTTCCCCATTCCCCCCCAAGAACTTCCCAAACAGGGTAACAAAATCCAAGACTGAAGCTAGATATACTGTGCTTGACTCAGTTGCCTAAACATAGGAACCTCATGCCCCTTGTGGTGGGTTGACCTTGGCTGGACACCAGGTGCCCACCAAGCTGGTCTATCATTCCCCTCCTCAGCAGGATAGGGCGGGGGAGAAAATAAGATGGAAAAAACTCATGAGTCAAGATGAAGGCAGTTTAATAAAGCAAAAGCAAAGGCCACACGTGGAAGCAAAGGAAAACAAAAGATTTATTCTCTACTTCCCATTAACAGGTGATGTCCAGCCACTTCCCAGGAAGTAGGGCTTCAGTATGCATAGCAGGTGCTCCGGAAGACAAACGTTGTAATAACTAATGCCCCCCCCTCCTCCTTTCTCTTAGCTTTTATTGCTGAGCAGATGTCGTACAGTATGGAATATCCTTTTGGTCAGTTTGGGTCAGCTGTCCTGGCTATGTCCCCTCCCAAGATCTTGCCCACCCCCAGCCTACCGGTGAGGGGGGAAATGCTGTGCAAGCACTGCTCAGCAGTAGCCAAAACATTGGTGTGTTATCAACGCCTTTCTAGCTACCAATACAAAGCACAGCACTATGAGGGCTGCTATGGGGAAAATTAACTCCATCTCAGCGAGACCCAAGACACCCCTTTAGGTGTAGGAGGTTATGTTTTCTAGACTTCACGCACAGCTTTAGAAGCTCTTGGTACAATTCTCCTGTAGTTTTTTTTACAACACATTGGATCCCTGAGGTTGTCTCAAATGGCATTAGACATTTATGTGAATGCAACTCAATCACACCTAGTAAATACAGCTTGTAAGGGTATCTGGAATGTAACGACACCTGGTTTATGAGGATAGCTAGTCAAGGACCTTTCAGTATAGAAAGCAAAGACAAGAAATGAGGGAAGTAATAAATTATATACACACATACACAAGCTTTACTGAGTAGGATTTAGTGGAGACACTAACAAAGACCAGAACTCTTAAGTTTCTGACTGATAGGCCATTGAGTGTATCACTGTAATCTTGTAGCAGTTCAGCCAGAACTTAGTAACTAATTAGAATGGGGGAATGAAGATTACATTGGGTCTCATGGAAATTAGAAATTTACTGTGGAGTATTTGAGGGAATTTGTGACTCTATGTAAAACTTAATATGAGATTCTTAAATGGTATTTGGAGAGTGCAAAACTTTTTGTGGGATGTTTAGGGCTAGAGGCAGGTAAGGGGAGGGATCATGGTGGATAAGGGAGAAAAAAGTATGGGAAAATGGAGAGGATTAAGCCTCTCTTACTAATCCCTGCACCTAACCACCGCAGCCTGTCCTCCATTCTTTTTAAACTCTGTTCCTGACTATTTAGTGTGTGTGTCCTCTGTCCAGAGTGTGAGCACATGTGTGACCATTAGTGAACATTAGTATGGACTGCCTGGTTAGCAGGAGGAGGTCAGAGGCAAACAACTGGAAAAAGGGCCACTGGTCACAGGGGGGGCAGCACCTGGAGGGAGTGGGATCTGGGGACCAACTCCTGGGCCAGGACCTGGAAGGTTGTGGGAGCACATGCATGTGCATGTGTGAGTCTGTGTCACTCCTAGCAAACTCCTGTTCCCATCAGCAAAACCAGAGAAATAGGATTTGGCTGCCTGTGGTGTTCATGTCTGTTTCAGTGCTGTTGGTGTTTCTGTGTGTACCAGTAAAGACACTTGTCTCTGTCCATGTTAGTCTGTGTGACCAGCCGTATATGTATATGTACATATTGGCATCTTCGGAATACATGCTTAGTCTTGCCATCAGCTGGACATACAAATGGGAGCAACAAGAGAAATCCCTTGGATCTTAGAGATCTCTAGATTGTGCTTCCCTTTAAAGAGACTGGAGAACTATTCAGCCTTTTCAAGTAGATATCTCCTTTTCTTATAGCTCCACACACCCCACCCCCGCAACTTGCTGTAACTTGCAGATCCAGATAAACACACCCTTACTTAGTAGCACTGATATAGAAATTACAGGATGGGGTTGTGTTTTATGCATAGGATAAAACTAGATAATCCAAGGAATCTATTCTGGATTTTAAAAATTCTTAATTTAATAATTATATGAGCAAAGCCATTCATCTCTTTGAGCAGCCTATTTATTCTCCTAGACTGTGTTACAATAAATTGGCAAAAATCACACACTGAATTTTGAAATCAGGGTTAGGTTACATATCTTTTGAGCTAATGCATATAAATTTAGCTTTGGGATTGATAAACTCTCAAATGGTTTAATTTTTTTATCATAGTTTTACATAGGAGACAGTGGTGATCTGACATAAAATGTGATATATACAGAATGAGGCTGAAATTCAGGCCATATTTGTTGTATTTACTGGACTCCAAAATAATTTTGGCCCTTGTTATGCATGCATGCATGAATACTGCAACAACAAAATCAGAAATGCCAGAGAAAATTTTATGGTAATAACCCAAAATAATGGAATTCCTGTGAATCACATCTGAGCTTCACTGAGTATTGTTCAAACACCAAACTCAAGGTTTAACTCAAGGGAATGTTTCAATCAATTTTCCAGATTGCCATGACATTTCTAAGCAAAACCCCAAGGTCCCAGCAGTAGCTGCACAATTTAGTTTTCTTCAGAAAATATCCTAATCACATTAATATATATTGTGTGACAGATTGTGTCTTCTCCAGAGAAGAATTTTCAAAGATATGTTCAGGTAGCTTCCTTCTCATTCTGCCTCACATGCCCCTTTCTTTATAAGGGGAATATTTAAAATCTGAAATGAAGACAGGAAGACATAACACTCTAGTGTCATTTCTCAATATTACAATCCAGACTGTTGGGGGATGGGTAAATTAATTATTCTATTACTAAATGGTTTAAAATACACCATTGATACTCCACAAATTTCACCTCACCATAAATTGAATTGCATGCTAACCACAGACAAAATACAATAATTATTGTCATGATAGAATCATAGAATAGAATCATTGAGGTTGGAAAAGACCTCTAAGATCATCAAGTCCAACCATCGACCCAACACCACCATGCCCACTAAACCA